CATGGACTTTGACATCATGCGATGAATTCGCAAATAGGTTGGAATTTGACCAACATTTGCTCCCCTTCCCAGAATGATCCGACGGTGATCACCCTGTCCCAGCCAATTAAAACATAATCAACGCGTGGTTGATGGTTAAATGGGGTGATGTAACGGGTTAGCCTGTAACATTACATTGACACCAAACGGTGATGATAGGGAGATTATCTAGCGTGACAATTCCCTACCAATATTATCTGAGATTGGTAAAATTAAAGGAACATGATCCCCTTTGTAGGATAATATTCATGCGCTGCCTAAAGATTGGTTGATAAATACATATCAACCAAGGTTACCACCAATCGCTGCTAGACGCGCGTAATCAGTGGTGAGCAGGCTGTCGTCATACGACAATGTGGATTACAATAGTCAGGTAAAGAGCGAAGTTATGTAATAGCTTAACTGTATTAAATACAGTTCTCTTTTTCCCCTTTACTCATGTTCTTTGTTGAGTAGATTATCTTCCTCTGCACGTACTAGTGTACGTGAAGTTTCGTGGCACCACAAACAGAGGGTGCCCCGTTACAGGCAATGCACTCCACGTTAACGGGCTGCGCAAGCGGTCGATAGTGGACAAGTTTTACGCATAGAGGAGACTTTAGGGGAACTATGTCGGTGGGATAGTCGTTTCTCAAAGCCTTGTGATTACATCGGTGACCACACCCCGCGTCAAGGGGTCACGCAAGCGGCTGAAAGAGCAGTATACGATTAGCGGCGCACCCGCGCCACTTTTTACAGATTCGGTTTTCTCATACGTTATATCAAGGGACCGCGCAAGCGGTCTTCGGGGACAGTTTCAAAATAGGCAGCTTGCCCTTTGTCACGTACCGTCGCTACAGCGGTTGCACACTGCAGATCTTCGGGCTCGCTTTCCGTCTGAAATTCTATCGTGCTCCTTTTCAGGCGGCTTTCCATCCTCTGCTTCACTGGGAAGTGGTGCACCAAGAGCACTTAAAAGATAGGCTCGAACCTGGCTCATGAAGACTAGTCTTTGACCTTTGCTACCTCTCTCTGTGCTCCTTGGAGCACTCGCGTCATTGATCCTATTTTTGGGCTATTGCTTCCTAGTAATCTTAGTCTTTAGTCATAAGCATTATTGGACATGCTTGACACCACCACCACCATTGTTTTCACAAACACACCTTTCTCAAATTACCTCGTAATTTGCGCCTTCGAGCAGTAACGTCCAAGCAACTAAGATATTTAAAGAGCCGGGCGACCGGCCCCTTAAACTGATTGGTAAGTTACCTATTGTAGGGTTTAGTTTAAAGGGGAGAAACCTTTCTGCCGCTGCATGCTCTACGTAGGCAGCGCTGCGTGCAAATCAAAAGGAAAACATCGACTAGACATCCCGATGCGAGAGGCACAGCAACAGTGGTTGTCTCTACCCATCTGGTACCTCCCAAATACCTCAGCCTTCGAGTTTTTGACCCGGTCGCTGAGCTTATCTCCCGAGCCCCACATATCGAAATTGCCTAGAACGTGATCAATATCGTCCAAGTCCGGGTGCGTCAGCGGCCGATCGGGGATAATCATATTGCTACCCGGCGTTTCGTGCGACTTCGGCGCCCTGTCTGAACCCCAGACTAGATATCCGATTCCACGTGCCCCCTGCGAAGTGTCCCCCATAATGACCGAAGAGCCGAGCCAAGTCAAGAAGACCTAATCAGCGAGGAGAAGATGATGTAGCTTAGGCAGCAACACACCGATATCGTGTATGTCATTAGCACCTAGTAGAAGTTTAGGATTTACCTTGCTTTAGACACTAAATACAGTTGCCTCTACATGTAGCGGACCAAAATAAGTGGCGTGCTAGCCTCTTCCTTTACATAAACGCTCTTATATGACGGGTCAATCTAAACCCATTCTAAGAAATGCATCCATGGAACACTGATCTTTTTGCATTAAGCACTGCTTTTATGCGTGCTCGTGAGACTTGCCAGCTTCTTGGTAAAAAAAAATCGTCCTTGTCGTGCTATAGCAAATTAAATATTGACATACGGAGACAACAGCGTAGAGCCTTGGTGGCCCAATAGTCACCTCATTAGCACTTCTACCATCAATGATGTCATCAATAGCCTTTTGATCAATCGCGTCGAGTCGCACTCGATCGGATTGTCTACCTTCGCACCGATGTTCTCGCCGACATTGACGCCGAGAGTCAAAATATTCCATGAGCTTGTTCAGCTAGTCTTTAGCAGATCGATTGATGTGTACGTTAAATTCGCGTAGTTGGGTGAGATTGTTTATGGTTACCCCTTTCACGATAACACACTTGCTATAGCAGTTGAAAATTCGCTTACTAGGGTACCTCCCTCTAGCTCGATATAGCGAAGCGCACAGAGTCCAGGGTATTCAAACTTTTGTCGATTCTTGTGTGGATTGCATCCAAGAGCCATCGAACGAATTGATCTTTATGCCGCGCTATAAATGGCCGAGTTATTCCTATTAAAAAATACGCCAGAAACTGCTGGTCAAGAGAACATACATTTAAACTTTCCTGTGTCGTGAGGCTGCAAATGTGCTGTCATGTCAAGCGGTAGGAATTTCTAGCTTTTTTTGCAGCATTTAGCGGCGCCGTAGTGACACGAAGCGTTGTCCGACAAGATAAACACTCGCATTCCGTGCATCTTAGCATCAAAATGCCGGAGCCTCCCAGAAAACGTTTTCCTATTTTGCCACGTAGTCTGATTGTTGGACTACAAAAACTTCATCTGCTGGGTATTGGCTTTGCGAAGTACTCGTAGTTGCTTCAACTTGCATTCGAAAACTAGATTATTTTGACGGTGCTGGTCATGTTGCAGCACTTTCCGACTGTGATACAATCCTTCTCTGGCTTTTTTGTAGCTCTTGACCGTTTCCAGTGTCTTGCTCGGAGGCAGGCGACAGAAGAGAGCTGATACTTCAAAATTGAATACATCTAGTGCTAGATATTGTCCAATCGCCTCTCTTAGCTTTATTTGCTTTATTGATGGTTGAGCGCGATCAACTAAGTCTGCCTCGCTGTGATTCTCACGCTGCTAAGGGCCGTGTAGTCTTCAATTTTTGCAGTGACCTATGCAAAAAAGCCGCAGGTCGTTCTCGCTTATCCTTCAAAAAGGATTGGATGGAGCGAACTTTTTATAGTAGTAGCTCGTGTGAGAGAATCGCTTTGCTGTCATTAAGACGATGGAATGCGGGGAACGCAGCCTATAAAGCTTTAAAAAGCACATACCGATTGCGCTTACTGCCTGTGGCAAGTAACGTGTCTACTAGTGTTTGGTCAATCCGTTTTGCTTCCGCTGTGGAAATTCGAAGGCCGAGGTTATCCCTGAACCATTCTTGTATTTGAGCCAGTTTTATGCCTGGTTGGTGTGGCATGTGCACCTGCACTGACGATTTTTCTCAGTCGTCAGTTTTTTTGCTTTGTAGACATGTGCATTTAAGGTGGAACGGAAGCAAATGTGCAAACTGGCAGGCAATGCAAGAATGTGGCAAGGTTAATAAAGAGGGGAAACTGGAGGTTGAAACGCGCTGTTTTAGAGCCTTATTTCATCAGTCTCTAATGTAAATTTAACACAAAAATTAAGTTACGCAGCTTGGTGCGCGACGCGGAGCTATTTAAGAGGTAAATCGCAAATCCAGCACCATCCAGATGCAAACATTGCAAGACCCGCACCGAATGCATATATAAACCCACTTCGTGATGAAATTAATGTGTACCACGCGTAATCCTACCATCTCCATCAATCCGCTGTAGCCACTATAGACGGTCCCGCCCTCCTCAACTCTAAAGGCCACCCACCTTCGGTGGAGATCGTCCCTTGCTAGACCTTAAATCATGCGGGGGTATCCTTGTGCAGGCCTCTCGCGCGGTCGTTGTATACAGAAAGGAAGTTCGGTAGGGGGCGAAGCACAGAAACTGACGGTAGGCCTTTGATGTTTAGTCAAAGCTAAAAATTTAACACGGAGAACTGTAACATGTGACTGTGCGGCAATCGTGAATGATCAGATTCAACTTATGTGCTTTTTATCGACCGTACCGGAGCCAAAGGTACCGCAATTATGAGACCTTAATGATGTGCTAAGCTGTGATTACTGGTCTCACATTAAATGATCGACGTGTGTACGAATCGAGAATGTTGTGTGTATATTGTATTTGCTTAGTTCAACTGCTTTATCTTTGTATCATAGGTGAAGAAGCCACGACTGGCCACGTGCCTCGGCACACTAGGACGATTTGACGGTTGTGCAGCGCGTTCGACGGGCCGAGGTAGAGATAATTGGACCTTTCACCACATGACGCGTCGTTGCTATGGCGACCGCGCACTCAAGAGAAGTAAGCGTCTCGCAAGTTTCGAACATACCAATTCATGGGGACAAGTGCAGTGCTATCGTCAAAATTGTTGCATGACATTTCTGTAGCGGGGCCTCTTTGTTTGTGGTACCACAAAACTTCACGTACACTAGTACGTGCAGAGGAAGATAATCTACTCAACAAAGAACATGAGTAAAGGGGAAAAAGAGAACTGTATTTAATACAGTTAAGCTATTACATAACTTCGCTCTTTACCTGACTATTGTAATCCACATTGTCGTATGACGACAGCCTGCTCACCACTGATTACGCGCGTCTAGCAGCGATTGGTGGTAACCTTGGTTGATATGTATTTATCAACCAATCTTTAGGCAGCGCATGAATATTATCCTACAAAGGGGATCATGTTCCTTTAATTTTACCAATCTCAGATAATATTGGTAGGGAATTGTCACGCTAGATAATCTCCCTATCATCACCGTTTGGTGTCAATGTAATGTTACAGGCTAACCCGTTACATCACCCCATTTAACCATCAACCACGCGTTGATTATGTTTTAATTGGCTGGGACAGGGTGATCACCGTCGGATCATTCTGGGAAGGGGAGCAAATGTTGGTCAAATTCCAACCTATTTGCGAATTCATCGCATGATGTCAAAGTCCATGCGATGTGCTGCCAAAGCAGCAAGAAATGCGGTTGCACGCGTGCATGCAGCCGAAGAGAGTTCTTATCTTGCTTCAGTAGCAGGTGATCCATCGCCTGCTGTTGCGATTCAGCAACAGGCGGTGCCTGCTGTGAATAGTCCATGTGGAAAGTCACCACGTGCGGCAGATACATCCGCTGCATCTGCAGTGGATACTGCGAATCGCAATGAAGATAATTTTGAAATAGAGCTCATCTATTCTGGCGAGTCGGATGATGAATCCAATTCTAAGGCGACACCTCACGCCTCCGGATCATCTGGGGCGGACACTACAAGATCCATTTTGACTGGCTCTGGGGAACGTGGCGGCATCACGTCCGAGATCTTCGGACCGAGCGATTGTTACGAAAACTCCTCGCCTCATGCAAGCTTATCCGACGATAGGACGCGTGGTGATGGTGGCGATGCCTCTGAGCATCACCACGAGAGAAGAAACTCGAGAGATCGAGTTGCCACTGGATTCAGAGCTCGGGCTGACACCACTCAAGAGGCCAGGGACCGAAATGTCCTGCGCCACGCTCCTCAAGTGGAGTCTCCATGGATGCCGTCACCACAGAGTTAGATCGAGTGGCCGGCATGACCACCGAACGGGATCGAATCCCGTCGTTCGAATGTAGAAGGGTATTTCCTCCTAATTCCAGCACGGAAGCTATCCGTGCTGAGGAAGAAGTTCTTCACCGATGCGTTTTTCAAACATCGGTGGTACAATGGAAACCGTGGTCGAGACGGTAAGGCCTTGGTGCAAGGATGGAATGCCTTCATCCATAACATCGAGTGCATTGGCCGTGAGGCCTGGCTCGGTGTATTTGATGTAGATCGCATCAGGTCTGAAAAGCGTAACCCAGTCGATGCACGATACAAGTTTCACCAACTTTCAGGAGAGGCAGGATCACCCTGTCTCTCGTGAGGTTATTCGTGTACAAGTTGCCTGGGCAACTCCTAATCGTGTCCCTAGGGAGTCCTACCTCCCTAATGTTCCCTACTGGGGGGCGCGCATCTCTTATGAGATGGCCGAAGGGATTGACACCTTGTAATCCCTGTAATCGCGTTCAGGGAGGTCCTTTTCCGACGGCCCTTCTTCGAACGCAGCGGGTGGGTCTCGTCACATTGCTCGACCAGACCCGGAAAATCAACGATTAGCTGGGCATGAGGCTCTCAGCTGTCCCGTGCAGGTGGATAGCCACGCCAGCGGACAAGGTAACTCGTCCGGACGCCCTTCACGTCACGGTGGCTCAAGATAAGCTCCACCAAAAATCTTTGACCACCGCCAGAATCCACCAAAGGATGTGATGAGGGCTGAAATACCTGATCCGGCTCGAGGATCGGATCAGCTTGATGTTCGAAAACTGAATCGTGTAACGGAAAAGTTTCACGATGACCTGGCTCATGAACGGACTTGGCGTTACGAACTCCGTGACCTTGCAAAGGATAACTACAATTCCTTAGCGCACGATCATTCGAACGATCGTGCTGCGTTTGCGTTTGCGCAATTTGAGAGCGAACGTTCGGTTCGTTCTCTTCGTGACGAGCTGAATGCAGCAGCTCGTCAAGACATCGCTGAACTGCGTGAGCAGGTTGGTTTGCTAGTCGACTAGACTGGCTCGTTGAAACGGTACCACGCAAAGGTGCTCTTGGCCCTTGATTGAGGAAGGAATTTTTGCCTCTCGAAACGGGCTCGTACTGATAGTACGGGCCGAGACGTACAACGCAAAACGTAGATTGCGTAAGCATCCTACGAGGCATTTCAATTGTGTATGCGTTGCCCATTCGGCGCAACACACGAAATGGACCGATATACTTGGGCAGTAATTTAATGCTACCCACGTTTGTCACTGCGTGTTTTGGTAGATGTACTGTAGACAGTAAAAATAAGTCTCCTTCATTTAATGAAATATCATTTGATCGTCCATGTTTGTCAGCGTTTCTCTTCTGTCCGTCTAGTGCATCTGCAATAGAGTCTTGAACGAAGATGACAACTGCTTCGCAAGTCAGCAGAAATTTCTGTGCTGATTCATCCTTGTTAACAGCAGTGCGCTTCGTGTGCACTGCTGAAAGAACGTTGTCTTCACCAGTGAGGGCGTCATCGTCCTCACTGTGGCAGTCATCGGTGATGCTGAATATACCGGCATCGTCTTCATCATCGTCATCGGTTTCGATCCCACCGACATCGGCATCCTTCACGTCGACACCATTGTCGACGGGTGATGAGCGAGAACCGGATCGGTTTCGGTTCGAGAGAGTCCACCCCCCCTTAAACTACAGTCACACTCTAAGAAGGCGGGTAAACGTGGATGGCGTAGATCATCACGAAGAACGGTGTATGCGTTGTCGACGCATGCACCGAGTTGTTGATGGCGAATTCCTCCATCGGCAAGAACTCACTCCAACTTGTAAACGATTGGACATACCCTCTAAGTATCTCTTCGAGGACGCGGTTGAAGCGTTCAGTTTGACCGTCTGACTCAGGATGGCCAGAAGTCGACATCGCTAAACGTGTTCCAAGTGAAAGAAACACGGATTGCCAGAACTCCGCTGTGAAGCGGGGTTCCCTATCAGACACGAGTTCACGGGGTAACCCGTGAAGTCGGAAGATAGTATCGATGAAGACACGAGCACAGCCCTGGGCTGTGATTGATATTGGTACAGCAACAATATTTACCATCTTGCTGAACCAATAAAAAAAACAAGAATACCAGTATTCTTCTGAGCCTCTTTGGGAAACCTAAAGACGAAGTCCATCGATACGGACTACCCGCACTCTGCCGGAATCGGTAGAGGCTGCAAGGATACACGGGATGAAGGACTAGGCTTTACCCGTTGGCAAACTTCGCAAGCGCGAATGTATTTGCGCACGAACTCGTACTGGCGAGGCCAGTAGAAGTCATGACTTACCGTGATGTACGTCATTTTTTACCGCGATTCTCACTTGTTGAGGCATCTTGAAAGTCATACATGATGCGCAATTGAAAACCATTATGAGCTGGAACGACAACACGAGTTTTGTCGCCGTTGACTGATGCATGGTACAGCAGTCCATCACGAACCGAATACCGTTCGGTTGAAGAGCGGCATAGAGACGTCGAGCATTTCAAAGCTTGAATGCATGGATTAGACACGCAATCCATCAATCGCAGAAGAGACTCATCTTCTGCGTTTGCTTTCCGCACGTCGTCGAGAAGATTCGACGACGGAACACTCACTGATAGTGTTGCAACAGTGGGATCACCTCTACTGTTGAACTTAGCAGTCGGCTCTAAATCGGGCTGACGCCAATGAGCATCAGCAACGACATCAATTCGTCCTGGTTTATACTCGACGGAGAAGCTGTACTCCGCGAAGAAAGACATCCACCTCGCCATTCGTTGCGAGAGGCGTGGACTGTTTACGGCAGTGCGTAACGACGCATGGTCGGTATAAATGATGAAGGGCCTATCTCCTAAGAGATATAACCGGAACTTATCCAGTGCATACTCCATGGTAAGAAGTTTCTTGTCATGCACCGGGTAATTACGCTCAGCTACTTGCATCTGACGCGATTGGTAACAGACGACGCGCTCAACGCCGTCTGAGTCATACTGCATTAACGCGCAGCCGATTGCAAAATCTCTGGCGTCACAGACCACATGAAATGGTCTATCCTGGTTTGTAATGGCCAACACAGGAGATTGTATCAAGCCTTTTATTGATGCCTTCAAAAGAGTGCTGAGACTCAGCGCTCCATGACCACCTCTCGTTTTTCTTTAGCAGACGAGAGAGATGTACAGTCATTTCGACGGAGCTGCACGAGTACTTGTACAAGTCAGCCGCTGAGCCAAGAAACTTTCGAAGTCACTTGACGTCAACTGGCACAGGCCAGTTGTTGGGACCGCCTTGCCAGGGACCGCCTTGATCTTTTCCGGATCAAGGCGTACGCCTTTTTTACCCACGATGCAGCCAAGGAGTGGTATTTCGTTCGCTGCGAATATGCACTTCTTGAGGTTCGCGAACAACTTATGCTCTCGCACAAGTGTAAAAACTTCCGGACGTGGATTCTATGAACCTCCACGTCCGCCTCTCTATCCATAGCCCGGCTATGGAAGAAGACATCGTCAAAGTAACTCGGTGCAAAATCTCGTACCGATCGCAACAGATTCGTAAAACATCTGTTGAACGTTGCAGGGGCGTTACTTAGCCCATGTGGCAGCAGTATGCACTCCCAGAGCATACCACTTAACCGATCGGGGCGGTGCAGTGGTTAAGTCACGGCTGTTCTGACCGGTAGGCACGGGTTCAAGCCCTCGCGTGTGCAGCGCACCCGCCAAGGTACGAATCTAAACCGCACCACCGACTGGTCTCAAAGGGGACGCAGCCGGTAGATAAGGTGAAGCAAGTGTGCAAAAGGTACGCCACCGAGTCGCAAATCCTGTAAGTTACTGATAGCAGGTATCTGGGCAGTTGAGAAACAACATGTGAAACTTCCCCGGGTAGAAATGAACCTACCCAGAGCATACCACTGGGGGTTCTCACTACCGTGTACGGGATGTTCAGTTCACGCATGAGGATCTGATAGAATCCATCCATCATATCCATGGACAAAAAGATGGTACTTTTTGCCATACCATCAATTATGACGTCCTTCCTCGGTATCGGCGTTTGAGCCGGTACTGTTGCAGCATTCGATTTGTTGAACGCGTGCACTATCCGCCACCCTCATGTGGCCTTTCGCACACAAAAGATCGGGGAGATGTGTGGGTCTTTTGATTCCCTCACATGACCAGCCGCTACGCGATCGGCAAAGAAGTTGCCGATCGCTGTTACCTGTTCACGAGACAGTGACCACTGCTTCATGACACAGTACTTCGAACCGGGTTTCAGTTCAATCTCATTCCGAGTGCCTCTGTCCTTGGGCATCATGCATGGCACGGATTCAGAGAAAACATCCCTGAATTCGATCAAATCCTTATACAAAGGATTTGTCTTCAAATAATCCCAAGAGTGAGACGTGTATCGCCCAATCTGGGTCTTCTCATCGAGGACACTCTCATCCATCGATGAGCTACTGAGAACCCGTTCGCTCTCAGAAAACACTTGTGCCGACCGAATATCGGCGACGTAATCGTCCTCTGTGACGAGTACGCAGATTGCTAGATCTTGTCACTACACAGATCTCGCAAGCATCTTTTAGATTCTAGCGTTGGCAACTTAATTACCTCCGAAAATGACTTCGGAGGTGTAATTAGATCAATTGTACAAGCGCCTACACTTGATCCATCATTCACCTAGACATTCACTGACTTGGTGATTTATGGGAAAACACATCCGCAGGTGGTTGGGGATCCACACCCTCAACATAACTCTCTTGGGAGTTATCGCTCTCAGTAAGCTGAAACTTTCTTCCAAACGTGTACTGACTGTGGGTGCACTATCACGGCTACGTCCTCGTCGATCGACTTTCTTTCAGTCGGTCGGGCTTGCTCTACGATCGACTCTCTGTTGGTCGATCTTGCTTCAACATGTTGTTCATCCTGACCTACACTGATCTCTCTTCTCGCATGTACCCTTCGTGGTGTGCGTCCGTGTTCCAGTGCACTAGATCTCTTCGAGTGGTGAACCTTAGGCGCAGCCTGTGTCTCTCCACAGGTTTCGGAAGCTGGTTCCACAGTGTATTGGCCTTCTACACTGTGATCTTGTGCAGTCATACTAACGACCGTACCACAAGTGAGGCCATCGCACTCACTCGTAGTACATCCACACGCTTGTGGACGCTCCAAGACGTTCATCAGATGACCATCCGATGAACAAACGGAAGGCATCTTCACGGATCAATGCTGCCAGCTAATCCATAGCTGGTACTTTCTAAGCCATGGCAGACCAAGGATGACATGAAATTTGTCATCCAAATCCAATACGATGAAGTCATCATCGTATTGTTTTTCTTCTAGCGTGTAGTGTATTTCCACTACACGTTTGTTCACTGTTACGGATGCGCCTGTAGCAAGGCACACCGTCATCCTCTTTGGATGGAACTCTCGCACGACATAGTTGAGTCTACTATCCTCTAGCGACTGGCGTCGAATAAAGTTGTTCGATGTCCCACAGTCAACTAGGGCGCGAAGTGACAATCCACTTGTCACTTCGATCTTCAAAATGATGAGGGACTCCTCATCACTAGGGGCAGTAACACACAGCGACTGCGTGTTGGGAGCAATCTTCGTCAAGGGTCCTGCAAATTCTCTTGACGTTGCTAGATCAGCAGGGTGATCCGCCCCCACTGACTTTAACTCTTTTTTTTGACGGTCTGGCTTGCTGGCGCAGTTTAGCGACACGGTTGGACCCACGCCTCGGACCATTCCTCGGCCAACGGCGGTCATCACGTCCTGTCTTTGGACGTGATGCGGTTCTCGGAACATCACACTCATGAGCGTAGTGCTCAATCTTCTGAAAGCGGTGGCATCTTGCTGTTCACTTGTGAATCAGAGAGCGAGAGTCCTTGCGCTCGATGTAAAAGAGGTCCATAGGTTCGGAACCTCCGGTTTCCTGTCGTCTCGTCGGACGATAGTTTGACGAGTTAGCCTTGGACTGTCTTAGGCTGAAGTCTTCTTGTTCCGCATACGCTATCGCTTTTTCAGCGCATGGAAGTCCTCTCGGAACATGTAGGTCTTCACCGGTCCATCTACAAGACCGTATACGAACACTTTGATGAGTGTGTGCACATCAACGGGGTTTTACGTGACGCTACTCGCAAGGTAGCGTAGGTGTTGTGCGTAAGCACGCACATCACGCTTACCTTGCTTGAGACTCAAGAGTTCAGAGCGTGCTCTGCAATCGGCTCTTGGCGGCCCAAACGTCTCTTTGAGTCGAGACTTCAAGATCTTTAACGACTCAAACACGTTTGGGTCGTGAAGCTTGAGCCCTAAGGCCCAAGTCTGTGCTCGTCCTGTCAAATCTGACAGGTCGAAGGTGACTTGCATCTCGTCACCCTCGACTTGACGGGCCCTGATGGCATTGTCTGACTCGATGAACCATCTCAAAAAGGAATCTTCATCAGTTCCCTTGTACCTTGAGATGACAATCTTCAAGGTTTCGGGTCGACGCATGTGCGTCGGCCCGCCCATCGACTGATTAGAGCCTTGCTGTTATAGCAAGGTTATCTTCTTTCTTTCGACGGCAAGTTCCCCTTGCAGGAACTTGTTGATAGCAGCATGTTGCTGGTCTCTACTTAGAGACTCCAACATGCCACTGATGGCGGGTTCGCCCATGAGCACACTCACGCGGCCGACTACCTCCCATTCTGAGTCACTCAGATGGGAGTAGCCTCCACGTGTGACGTGAAAGCTGTCGTCATCTACGTCCAACATGTTCATGTTGTACGGACACTAAGTAGTCGTCGGACGAACTACAAAGTGGTACCAGGTGTAACGGGGCACCATTTGTTTGGGGTGCCACGAAACTTCACGTACACTAGTACGTGCAGAGGAAGCTAAGCTACTCAAACAGCTAGTTTGAGTAAAGGGTAAAAAGAGAACTGTATTTAGTATAGTTAAGCTATCAATATAACTTCAGTCTTCAACTGATTATACATATTTATATTGTCGTATGACGACATCCTGCTCACCACTGATTAACGCGTCTAGCAGCGATCGGTGGTAACCTTGGTGGATATGTCTTTATCGACCAATCTTTGAGCAGCGCATGAATATTATCCTACAAGGAATTTATAATCTTTTATCAATACCAATCTCGGATAAATAGGTAGGATATTGTCATGCTAGACAATCTCCCTATTATCACTGGTTGGTGTCAATATCATGTAACGGGCTACCCCGTTACAATGTCAGTGCATTGATAAGCATTCGCTACTTGTTGTGTCTCTTGTCCAACTAAATTAACAACAAACTGATTTTGTCGGGTACATGAAGTGTCGTGATTTAATACGCAAGTACGTATGTCGCTCAAGCCCTTAAAGACCTTCAGAAGTATCTCAATGTATGTACCCCACCTCACCATCTCAATGACGCGCAATGTGATACCCAACCAGACCCTATGACATATCGGAGAGAGCGATACCAAATCAAGGGATCATCTCACTCTTCCCAAAAGGAGGATCTCTCCCTTTAAAGCAGGGTATCTCCCCTCGAAAGGAGGATATCTCCCCGCTCCCTTCGCTCCTCCAGATGGTGCGCTTCACGTCGCTCTCTGCGCTCCCGACCAAGCGCGTGAACCGCGTGCTCGTCGTCGGGTCGCTTGAGACGTTGCAGCTGCAAGGCGCCCCCTCCAGTTTCCTGCACCAGACGCTCCTCCGCGCTTCTTCGAGCGCCGTCGAGAGTTCCACCGCAACCAATGCGCTGCTCTTGCAGTACGCACTGAACTCGCTCCGTCCCAGCGTCGACAGCGGCGCCACGGCCGCGCTCTTGCTGCTGCCGACTTCTCCGTCCACAGAGTCGCCCCTGCACGTGACGCTGCACGCGCTGCCCACGCAAGTCTCGCGGTCCAACAGTCAGGCGCGTCCCCACGCGATCACGTCGTTCCTCAAGCGCCACACGCAGTTGATCAGCACACGAGACGCCGAGGAAGAAGAGGCCCCAGAAGAGAGAGACGACGATGACGTCGTGCTCGTGGTGCTCGTGCTCCCGAGGCACGCGGACACGTGGCTGGCAGCTGGCGCTGCAGTCGCTCGAGCCGCGTCTTTGTACGAGCACAAGAGCCAGCGGCCGACCGCTTTGCCAGGACTCGAGACGAGAAAGCGCCGGTCGGACAGACTCCACGTCGTGTACGAGACGCCGCTGACGAGGGACGAGGAGACGCTCGTGCAACACACGGCGGACGCGATCCAATTGGCCGCGAGGCTCGTGGACGCGCCTCCGAATGAACTGCACGCGGACGCGTTCGTCGCCGAAGCTCAAGCGGTGGCGGCGCGCACCTCGTCGAGGATTACGATCGTGCAGGGCGAGGAGCTCCGGCAACAGGGATTTGGCGGCATTTACGGCGTCGGGAAAGCAGCGACGCACGCGCCCGCGCTCGTGTGTTTGAGTCACGTGCCGGACGGGGCGGACGAGGTCCCGAGTGTCGCGATGGTGGGCAAAGGCATCATCTTTGACACGGGTGGGCTCTCGATCAAGACGGGGGGCAACATGGTCGGCATGAAGCGCGACATGGGCGGCGCAGCGGCGCTCTTGGCAGCGTTTGAAGCCGCGTGTCACGCGAGGAACACGACGGACAAGACGCCGCTGCACGTGGTCCTGTGTGTGGCAGAGAACGCGGTGGGACCCGATGCCACGCGTGTGGACGATGTGCTCGTGATGTACTCGGGGAAGACGGTGGAGGTCAACAATACCGACGCGGAAGGGCGTCTCGTGCTGGCTGATGGCGTCGCGTATGCGGTGAAACACCTGAAGCCAAAGGTGATTGTGGACATGGCCACACTCACTGGAGCGCAGGGTATTGCGACGGGCACTCGCATTGGAGCCATCTACACAAATGACGAGGAGCTCGAGATGATGGCGGTCAAGGCAGGGAAAGTCTCGGGTGACTTGGTGCACCCGATGCCGTACGCGCCCGAGTTCCACCGGCTCGAGTTCAAGAGCACGATCGCAGACATGAAAAACTCGGTGAAAAGCCGGACGAACGGGCAAGTGTCTTGTGCTGGGCAGTTCATCGCGAACCACTTGGGCGAGTTTGAGCGCACGGGCAAGTGGCTGCATGTGGATATGGCATACCCCGCGTTTACGAGTGATGACGAGCGGGCAACGGGTTTTGGCGTTGCGTTCATGCAGTCGTTGCTGAAGGAGATTGACAACGCGGACTGGTAAGTCGAGACCGAGTGATGAACGCAGCAAGAGAGCAAGAAAGCAAGCAGCGAGCGGGAAGCCACCGAGCGAGTATGTTGCTGACAAATCGGGAATATGTGGATGAGGCAGAAGTGCTTGCTGAGTATTCATGCTTTGCACCGGGTACCAGCTACCACCTTGGCGCTGCTATTTCTATCGACAAAAGTGTATGCTTTGTGATCCTAAATCAGTAAAAGACGTGGCCATGCATTCGCTTCCAAAGAGTGGCAGCGTTGTGCACTCTCAAGCTCAACATTATTGGAGTCGCATCGTATATCGGCTGGACTAAGTTTGTGTGTCATTGTAACTACAAAGCCAAGCCGATATGCAGTCAGAAGCCGCACATATTGTTCTCTTTTCGGACGTCCGTGCAGCATCAGATAGTCGTATCGAGCATTGGTAGTCCGTCTTAAGCTCCATCTTGAGTTCCGTCTTGAGCTTAATCGCGCTAAACCTTGAGACGGACAATCAATGCGTTGAGTTGGCTCGAAAGTCTTCCAAGTGATGTGGCGCTTGTTCTGCACTCGTCGAGAGCTTTCCTAGTGCACATTGACGCGGTCAGATGCATCTGCAATATTTGTCCAGCTTCACCTATAAACTACTCGACGTGATGCATCAAGCTTGAACAGTGAAAATGATGTTCAAGAGCCTGTCAACCAGTCGTGAGTTCCGTGCAAAGGTCTGTTCTCGTTATTTCGTCTTCTTCAAGACCGACAAGTAGCTCAAGCGTCAGCCGTGCGAAAAAGCAGTTGCCATCTGAATCACGTGGCACATCATTCGTGACAGCCATGGTCTAACACGCATTTGTCACAAGGCGCTTACGGCTCTAAACGTGTCGAGACTCCTCGCTCCTGTTTATCGACACAGTTTACTCTCCGTGATCCCCTCACTATCGTGCATTAAACTCCTTATCGTGCATTGAACTCCTTATCGTGCGTTCCTACATGATGTCAATCACACACGAATTACACCATTCAATCTGCCTCATCCTCACTAAGTACGACATAATTCGTCAGTGTAACGGGGTACCCCGTTACATGATATTGACACCAAACGGTGTCAATAGAAAGATTGTCCAGCGTGACAATATCCTACCAATATTATCCGAGATGGATAATATTGAAGGAATATTATCCCCTTGTACGATAATATTCATGCGCTGCTCAAAGATTGATTGACATAAGACACATCAACCGACTTTACCACCAATCGCTGCTAGATGCGCGCACTGAGTGGTGAGCAGGTTGTCGTCATACGACGGCGTAGTTTAATTTAGTTAGATAAAGACTGAAGTTATATTGATAGCTTGACTATACTTAATGCAGTTCTATTTTTTACCCTTTTATCAGCATAGTTGTTGAGTAGATTAGCTTCCTCTGCACGTACTAGTGTACGTGAAGTTTCGCGGAACCTCAAACAAAGGGTGCCCCGTTACATAAGTGAGATTCGTTGTTCATCTTTTGTACATGTAAGTAACGTGCTTGTAGCACGAGGAGGAACATTTTCTACGAAAAAAGCCTTTTGCCGTCAGGGCTCCTGCCGACCCCGTCAACTATCAACTATCAATTGGTCGTATATTACTGGAAGTCACAGGTCACTCCCGGTCCCAACGGTCGGGCCAGGCAGGTAGATAGAAACAAAAGATTGAACCAAAACTTTGAACGCGGCATGGCTCATAACCCCTTCAAATGTGAAATTGCATCATCCAGCTTTATGCATTCTTAATCGAGGCCATCCTGAATCTGTGTCAGGACCGGGCCATTGGCTGTGAAAGAAAGATCGATAGTTGAATCACTTCGCATTATTTGTACGATCGATGAAGAATGTTGTGCGACATTGGTCGTACATAAAGATTGTGGTGCGACATTTGTCGTACAAATTTAGTTGTGGATCAGTGTGGTGCATAGAGTATTTAGTAAAAAGCGGGATGTATTTAACAACACCCCTAATCTAAAAGTCAAACGCCGAAAGACTGTTACATTCGTGCAACCTCATCAAGGTGTCCCCTCGTGGATTCATCCCCAAAAAATGAGACCGAAACAAATCAAAATGATGCGAGCCGAAATGACCGAGTCCGCGCTATCAGTAGCGCTGTTCCTGCTGCCATGCGCAGTCATCCTAGAGCGTTGCATTGCAGACTGGTCTCTATTCGCCCTGCACCCGGCGCTAAACTCGTTGGCCACGCTTGTGTGTTTGCCCAGGTCGTTTTCGATGAATTCAGATCGTTTCTTGACGAGGGTCTCGACTGACCCTTTACTTTCATTCTGATCCTTAGTGCGTTGCAAGCGATGCTGCAACGAAAGAACGAGACGAAGATTGCAAAACGGTAGTCAAGGCATTGTATACTGAAGTGGTTTTTCGATGATATTTTTGCCCATTGTTGACCGAGTATGGTGGTACAACTGTAAGATCTACAACTGTAAGATCGTTACTAATTTTGTTTCTTACATATTGTCTGTACTTCAGTGTCAGGCTTACTCGGCTGCACCTGCTACTCAATACAGTGGCTGGAGTATTAATAGTTGCGGCAGGCATCGTAGTTTTCATTGCGAAACAATTGGATGGTGACGATCGGCACTTATCGACGCCACATTCGTGGGCAGCTCTAGTGACGGGACTGTTCTTCACATTGAACATGTTCCATGGACTGTTACTGACCTTTGAAGGTTCAAGACCCAATTGGCAATGGAAGGACGAGACCCACGCAATCACAGGCGTGCTCATCTACATCGGGAGTGTTGCAACAATGCTCTACGGGCTGCAAACGAGCTCGTGGGGGACAAAGGCTTTTCGTCCAGAAAGACAGTTCCAGCTCACAGTGCTCATTGTTGCAGCCCATGTGAATCTGCTGAAGAATTTGCTCGTCCTGGAGCGTCGAGAACGTCACTCGGTTGTCGTCAAGAGAGCAGCTCCCATCGCTTAAAGGTATGAGCAGCATCTTATTGTTCGTCTCGTACCTAGAGCCACGGTTGCTTGATGACTGGTATGGCGTACCCGTCCATACAAAAACAAAGCTAAATGAACAAATACAACATGTTGACGTACCCCACCATCCCCTTACTGTACCCCACGTATACCACTACTAAACCCACTATCAATGGTCAAGAAAGTGGAGGTGCTGGTGCTCAGTGGCCTGCTGGGCGCGCCTTGCGTCATCATTCTGTCCGTGTGTGCAGCGTCACCGTCACTGTTTGCTGTGCACCCTGCAGCGAATGCCGTGGCTTTTCTACTGTGCTTTCCACTGTAAGCTTGGACCACAATATTCGTGATGTGTAGTGGTCGTATTGCAATATAACGATAACAGCCTGTAACGAGTTTCCATTCGTAGGGGACTGTACGCGATGCTTGAGCGAAAAGGTGTACCCGACTTTCGGACACGGTGCGTTCGTAAAAACATTTCGGTCGAAGAATAGCGATCATATCGTTGACTGAGTCAGCTCTTTGGTATCCATTAGAGTGTTTCTGGTTAAAGTGCACCTGTTTTCTCAAGTAGTCGCGATGTTCTTACTGAGTATCGGAGGCGCAGCAGCTTATTGGACTAAGAACGCATTTGGAAAAGAACATTTGACGTCCACACACTCGTGGGTCGCCGTTGTGACCTCGATACTTTCCACGCTCAATTTGCTCGGTGTACGGACAGTATTTCCGTACTTTGCCACATAAGATGCGGTGCTGAAGAAGGTCCGGGGTGTATGTGTGTGTTTTGTTGTTGACGTTCAGGGCCTCGTTACCACATTCGGTCGAAAAAAGACGAGATGGCAGTGGAAAGACCTGACTCACCGTGTCAATGGCACCTTGGCAATCATGGGTGGAGGTGCTGTAGCTAGATTTGAACGTCTGCATTACTGGACACTATTAGGACTGACAATTAAGTGATGCTTGTGTTCAGGCAGCAGTGTGATTCTTGGCATGTACAGCGGCACGTGGGGTAGTGTTCAGCTGGGCGAGGACTTGCAATTTAAAGTGGTGAGCTCGGTGGCCACTGCGTACCTTTTACTATTTGTAAAGGGGGTGATGACGAGCTTTGAGACGCCTTTGGCAAAGTTGAGCGACTGAGTAGAAGCAAACAGACTCGTGTTCATTGCATACGATGAGCTTGTTGTGTTTCAGCCGAACACGAAGATAGAGAAAAAGACACCAAGTACAAGCTTTTGTTGATAAATCGACCTTCATTTGTTGCCAACCAGTATCAATACAATACGCAGTGCTGCTTGTTGACGATACTACGTCATGACGTTTGCAATTTTGTTGCACCTACGTATCGCCTTGTGACGTGCTAGCTTCTAGCATCTTTCAGACTTCAGAGCTTTCATAGAGTAATCGCGACACTTGCGATAGTAGAGCATTAACAACACGACGAAGGACATTGCTCAGATCTCGACACAAATGGCGCAGCGTCGACTACACTATGTTTCAGCTTGGCGGCCTTTACCACTGCAGCGGAAACGATGTAGGCCATCGTTTGTGCCGGTTTGAAATCTCAGCAGGACATTGCCCAGCACGAAGGTTTTCGCAGATGTACAGGTTCCAGGAGAAGCAACTGAAGAGCAATGACGCAGGATGACAAGATCAACTGGATCAAAACTTGTGCTGGATTGGCACCAAGATTTATAAACATGACGCTGGATCGGTATGGCAGGTTTTCCGATCCGACCAGATTTGCATCGAGCTTGTACCAGCTGAGTACTTACAGTTTAGCAGTCTTGGTCCGCCAAGCAATGCATTTCACTGTCTGAAAGAGGCCATTTGCTTCTGCGCTGCTTAAAAAAATCACGTATAAGCATCTGAGTCTTCGTGGCGACACGGAAGTGGCCAAAATGCACGCTCATGAGAACGTCAGTAGAATGTCTATCGAACCAGCCGCAAACATCCTCAAGAGATGAGATTTCCTCTACTTAGAGTGACAAACTAAAGGTCGTACGTAGGTCTTCCCTTACGTAGCTGATTATTTACCATGAATCTACGTATTATCCTGAATTCGAAGTAGTCGCTACTTTCTTACGGCACATGATGAAGGAGGTACGGTCACTTACTGCTTTCGCGTTCAAAGCTGTGTTTATTTGTTATTTGTTCCACAAGGACAATTGCAGATGCATCCTCTACTCTATGTAGATCAATGCAATATGCATCGGGTCAGTGTATAGACTCCCTTGTTAACATCGGTAGTTACACATGCGCTTGCTTGTTGATCTTTTATTTTACTGTTCGGATATAAGCTCATGTGCGAAAGACTTCCTACATTTTGTCATACTGACAAGTCCGTGTGGCAGTATAGAGGAAGTGGACGTTGCAGCTGGTGCGATGGGATCAAAGGCATGGTACTGCATTAGACTGGCCATCAAGTTAGTGTTCGAACTCAGCTCGTGCGTGACACGAAGCTACATGTTCAATATGGTCGTTCGCTTCTCGATGCTCTAATGCGACTGGGGTGAGAGCTCAATAAAGTGCCAGGGCAACTCGAAGTTTGTCAGGGTTATCCAGTGACACAGTTCGAGAGTACATAGTCACGAGTAAACAACACCTACAGATAAACTAGCTCTTATGGCATGTAAGCAAACCTGTGTCTTTGTGGAGATTTAATGCGGCAATTTACTACCTTCTGGAGAAAGTAAGCGCGAAACTGTGAGCTAACGACACAAACATGAGCACTTTTGGCTTTTTCTCGTCGAGCTACCATAGAGCGCCCGGATCAACATCACTCTGTCGGGTGCGATTAGGTTATTCGCGCACAGAAGTAATTTTCCGAAGTATGCGACAATGTTCGGGCTTCGACAATGTGCGACAGCGAGCAGTGTGAGGCAGCACAGATTTCTACGCGATTAACTGTAGCTTCTCAACTCTATCAATGCAGTTCGAAACGATGCATATAGCAAATCTAATCGAGTAATGATGAGCTCAACTACAACTCTAGGTAGCCGGACTATCGAATCTGCAAATGTGCGAGATCGTTTCCAAGCGCCCACACCGTTAACTGATAGACGTTGTAACAATGAGTTCGGTCTGATGGAATCTATGCATGCAACCAAGTGACTTTATGGCAACAGAAAGTACCCGCGTTTCGTACGAAAGTAGCGGTTCAATCGTCTAGCAAATGCCCGCCCTCGCTCTCAAACAACAACGCCAACCCGTTAGCAACAACTACCAACCTCACTAGACATCATATCGAGCTCACACCAAAATCGAATCGCCCTCATATCCTCCACATCAACCCCACCACATTCATTTCGTCAATTTTTCCACTTACCCGCCCGAACTCTCACATTCTATCGTCACTTTTCGTCCTTCCTCGAACGCGCCATGACGGACACGACCGCCTCGTCGCTGGCGTCGCTCTCGCTGCCAGCTCCAGCCCCCGACGCGCTCCACCTACGCGTCAAGACGCTCGACGACCGCGTCTTCCCCGTCGTGGCCGCTCGGTCCATGTCCGTCTCGGACTTCCGCCTCGAAGTCGCGCGTCTCACGTCCGTCGCGGTCGCTCGCCAGCGGCTCATTTACCGCGGCAAGTTGCTCAAAGACGGCGTCACGCTCGCGGCCTACGACGTCCAGGACGGCCACACGGTTCAACTGGTTGCTAAGCCAGCACTTGGGGGCAGCTCCCCGGTGGCTGCCGCGCCCGCACTCGACGCCCTCCGACCTCCAGTTGACGGACCCGCGTGGAACTTGGCGACGCTCCGGTCGGCGTTGCGACGCACAGGGCGTGTCGACAACTCGGTGCGACATGAAGCTGGAGACGAGACGGAGCAGAGCGTGGACTTGGAGCCTGTGGCTCAGAGTCTGATGACCGTCCGGACGGTGCTTTCCACTGCTCTTTTTGAGCCAAGAACAAGGACGACCATGACGACGGATGGACGTGGAACGAGGCGGTTTTTCGTCGGGCAGTGGCTCGATGTCAAGGATACTGTGAACCAGTGGCTGGAGAGTACAGTCCTGGCGCTGGCGGATGGGAAGGTGCTGGTTCATTATCATGGCTGGCCCACGAGATGGGACGAGTGGATTGACGTGAACTCGGATCGGTTGGCAGCGTTTCGGACTCGGACGCTGCATGCCCGCAACGGGGTGCAGATGTCGCCCATTCCGACGACACGGGTACCTAGTGCACCGCAAGTGGGTGGCTCGGACGTGCGGCGCACTATTGTCGACGTCCGCAACGTCATGCGTGAGATGATGCCGTACATTGACCGGCTTGCAGATTTATGTGAAGAGGAACTGATGCAGGCGACGCGAGTGCAGGAGGTGGAGGTGGAGGAGGTAGACGGTACTGAAAATGATGTGCAGCACGAGACTGTGGATTCGAGTTTGACAGAAGACGACGGACAAGCGCGGGAGAATGCAGTGTCGGAGGCAGCGCACTTGGTAGCCCCTCTTTTCGATCGATTTGGACGGCTGTTGATGGATTCAGTGCAGTTGTTGGACCCGTTGTTGCGCCCAGAGCTGCGAGGCACGTCGGAGCGGCAACAAGAGCGTCGTGCGATTGCTTTACGTCGCAGTCGCGGAGACTTGGCGCCACGACAGAATGAAAGTGTTTCGGCATCGATGGAAGCGCATGACAATACGCTTTCGATTCGTGATTTGATTGCTACATCGACTAGTGCGGGAAGTGAGGTGAACCAGCCGAGACGTAGTATTGATGTACATATCCACGCGATCGTAGCACCGGTATCCCTATCGTCGCTTGCTTCGCTGACTCGCAGCAGCAACGACGCAGGCACGACGTCTGACTCGAGCAGTCTATCTCGAAGCGCTCCGGCGCCTTCTTTGCCGCATATTGGTCGATCTTTTGGCACGAACGATTCTGTCAACGGTACACGAAATGCTGGTACGCATGCTAGCGATGATGAGAGTGACCAGAGCCGAGTCCCGCTGCTTGGATCGTATCGCCATCGCAGTCAATTACAAGTAAACGACCATAGCGAGCAGCAGCAGCGTTCTGTAGCGCGTGATCTGGACGAATTCCTGTCGAATGATTTTTTCGGGACCTCGTTTGGCAACAATGATGACAACAGCGACAACGGTTCGAGTATCAGCTACGCGCATTCCGATAACATGGAGTCAGGTCGGTCGGCTTACCGCCCTCCTTCGCCCCTGGAAAGAACGCCTTCACCACGCACGCCTAGAAATGATGACAGTTCTGAAGATCGAAGGGACATGGCTGGTGGGGACTTGGAAGAGCGACTGCGAGCGCGATCGTCCGAAACACCCCGTGAAAGCAATGAGGACAGTCACGGCGGAGGTAACGACCGAGCACGGCGGGCATCTGCAGGCTCATCTTCCTCGACGTTGTCAGCGGGTTTTCCTACTTTTTTGGATGTGGTGCGCAGAACGCTTAGTGGAGTTCGGAGCTTTGTGCAGAGTGAATCCAGCAGCAGTCCAGAGAATGCGAGCAACTCTCAAGATGGAGTTTTGGGCTATTCGCTGCCATCCTCCTCATCGTCACCGTCGTCGTCATCTTCATTATCTACCCCTCTAGAGTCTCCAGTCGTTCACTCCTCGAGCGAGATCATCACCACCAGTTACCATCGCCGCTCTAGCGAGAGTAGGACCGATGAGGAGTTGGATCTGGATGAAGTGGATTAAAGTCGAGCTCTACGCAGAATTGTCGTGGCTTGTATTACGCTGCAGCGAAACGGATCGATGGAATGTTGCAATGGGCTGATTAGCGGTTGTCGGGATGATGTATCACAAGAGCGTTTTTGCGCTCACTTATGAAGGCGCAGAGGCTACCCGAGTTATTAAGTGGCGTCATCCTATAACCGACTGCGTTGAGGCACTCGCCGCAGTAAATTGTCGCAATTTGAGTCGCCTCCTCTGCTTTCCAGATCGAGAAATGCCTATTTTTAGCTAAAATGCAGGGACTGCGAATGAACATTATTATATGGATGAAGGTAGTCCGAAGAGTTGCAGTTTCGTTGTCAGAAAACAGAGTACAAGAAATCGGCTGACGTTGGTTGAGCCGTTATTTGGCAAATGCGAAACGGCTGGGTCATTCTGATTCGTCATCAGAAGTAGCTCCGAAATACGCTTAATTTCGTCAAGAGTAGATCCCAAATACTCAATCACTGTTACTATTCATCCACTTGCCCGTTCAGAGCCCAAAATAACGATTCCAGTGCAATTTGCGGCTAAAACCCTTCGACAGTCATTAATCAGAATGGCCCAGCCGAATAAAAATGAGCCCAGCCGTTAAGACTTTGCCTTTATTTTGTCGCTAATGAGACCGAAAGGCGTTTTTCATTCACAAAAAGGACTGCGCTCTCTAACGAGAAGTGGAATGAACATGTCGTACTACCGAGTTGTTTTAGTGTCAGCTTTTCGTACACATTACCACGACTCGGGTACTACCAAGCGACGCAAAAATCCATGGACTTGTCGACGACAGCCCGAAAGTCCCATGTTCTTATTGCTGCATAGTTTCCGCGTAAAATGAAAAAGCCTTTGTTGTTCATCCATGCGGCACCCTGCAACGCTTGCTTCGCACTCAAGTCAAGCCTATAAGCGTGCACAGTTGATTGCCGCTCGCATCGATATCTTTTCATCCTGCTTTACTGAGAATTGAGCTCGCAGTTGTGACTTGCTGACATCCCAGTATATTAGAGACGGTGATATTGGTGACACATTGCTACACCGTAAGCTTCGTCTAGCATCAACATACCAGCTTGCGCGAGTTCGGGACACAGAAACAATCCAGCGTCTAGAAATTGGCATTTTTGCCACGCACTTCCATTTAACATTGACGCAAACCCACTCGAACATCAAATGTCCATGTGTCGCGATCGCAGTGTCTTGGCTGCACTCACATCCAAAACATGCCAATGGCACGCCTACAGCTCATCTCTGCCCTCGACGTCACCGGCCAATTTGACCGCCACCTTTTCTTCCGAAAGCTTATCGGATTCCTCAGTCGAAATCGATTCCAACTCTTCCTCCACCTCATCACGCGGCACAATATTCGCATCGTACACCCCTGTGTAAGATGGCAAAGTGATCCTGGTCGGGTAGGCACCACCAAAGTGAATCGTGAGCGTCGTCGCTTCCTGACCGTTGGGCGAGCCAAAGTCTGGCGGACTGGCAAGACCTACGGCAACACGGATCTGATGGTTGCGCTTGACAACGTACGACGTTGGCTGGAATCGGAAAATAGCCTCGTAAACCTGGCCGGGAACGATTTCACGCGAGTCGGCGCGCTTAAACGAGTGCACAGTTGCATCCGGACGGATCGTGTCGTGCATAGGATTCAATAATGCCTCAGTTATATACGTGACACCAGGGCGCTTGTTCTCGTTCGGGAACGGAGCCGTAAAGTCGACATCCTCAAGGTAAGCCACGAGGTTGACAGCAGACTGATTGGCCGAGAAATAAAGACGCAGCTCTGCTTCACCCGTGATTTCTGTCAGCGGTAGCTCTGAGGTCAAAAACGTCGTATACTGTTCAGTCAGTAGCGTGCGGTCATTGTAGTACATCGGACGCAGGCCGAACAAATGATCAAGCATATTCCAGCGCGAAACGTATTCCAGCATGGGCTTCGTCGACACGTTGCGAGTCACCGCGTTTGTCACATGTTCAGGCTCGGACTGAAATTCCTGGCTAGCACCAAGGTAGAACGTCTTGTCACTTAAATGAGTCGGTGGCCACGTGCTCGACTCTTTCCAGCGATTGTGCGCCATCGTAAAGTAGTGCACGGGCAGCTCCGAATCGAGTTTCGTAATCTCTCGGCGGTTAACGTACATGTGGTGATCAAAGAAGCGGCTCACCTCGTCCAAGTGGTAAAAGCACTTTTGTTTCGATAAAGCAAACGGGTCCACGTTGTCAACACCACCGTGACTCCACGGTCCCAGCGTCAGTCGATAGTGCGTCGCGTCCTTTTCCACAGCCTCCAGCGCCTCCTTCGGCAGTACTGGCAGCAGCGACGCCGTGTCCTCATCCAGAGTGTTCGTCAAGTACTGGAACAGCAAAATACTAGAGCGTGCAACGCCCATTTCAAAGAACCCAGCTGACATCTGCAACGCCACGCCTGAAGCTGCAAGTACACCAAGATGACGAATGGCATCCATGTGCTCAATGGTGGCATTACTTGACGCAAGCTTATCGTCTCGAAACTGCACGTCCATGAGTTCAGTAACCAAATTCGGGTTCTCCATGTGCTGGGCAATATACTTGTCAAACTTCGCATCATCAGCATCATCCACGCGGTAGACGTTTCCGCCAAAGTGTTTAAGCATCAGTCTCGGTTTAAACGTCGGGATCTCGTTCCACCGGACTTGGCGATCGGTAGCACTTGTGAACGAAGCCCAGTCCCTCAATGCCTTGACATTCTTCACCCCTCCAGGGAACAAGACGTCCTGGAATACATCCATCGGGGCACTATTAACCGACACGGCTTTCAGTGCCTTATGCCCACTTGCTGCAGCCAAATAAGCTCCAACTCCATCCAGTCCTTGTCCAAATACTGCAACTTCTCCATTGCTCCAGGCTTGCTGCGTGATCCACTCGATAATATCGTAACCATCTTGTACCTCACTATCAGCAAAATCATGAGCTTTCGTGCCAGCTGAAGCCCCTGTACCCCGAATGTCCACTGCCACCCAAGCGTACCCATTTGTGATAAAACGCTGGATATAGGCATTAACTCGAGGGTTTGTAAACTTGCGTTCGTAACGGGCAAAGAGACTAAAGGGGAAGTCAAGAGTGTACCCCCGACCGTGACGGGTCGGGAAGAGCACAGTAGGGACTTTCTGCTGGGTGTCGTGGAGGTAGTCGGCTAAGTACAAATCGACGGCTAATTCAATGCCGTCTCGCATGGCCACATATTGGGTCTCATAGTGCGTCTTTTTAGGGTCAAAGAACCGTAAGGAATCGTACCGTCTCTCGCCAAACCACGAGTGGTCATTCACGTGCACATTGCAGACAATCGGGTCTTCTCGATTCAAGAGGTAGCCGCCAATTTGGTGGGCGACGTAGAGCGAGAGCATGGAAAAAAGGGCGTTTTTCACGTAAAACTTGCTCTTCGCAGCTGGTGGTGGTGCTGCTGCATGGCGGTTTTCGTCCTTTGCCATGGGCTTTTTGGGGCTACGCTGAGACTTTTTGTGGAATGAATGACTGCTCACGAGACGCGGAGCTGTTGGTTGGTGGTGGATGGGATATGGTAATGGATTCGGGAGGATATTCGAGGTAGGAGGTCACGACGATGATGTGGTAGGGAATGAGGAGAAAGAGGAAGTGGTTCCGCAATTGTCCCGTTACAAATGTGACGGTATCAGTATGAATGTCGTATCACTGATTTTGTGGAAAGATTCCATCGCATCTTTGGCGTTGGGTGCGTGCGTAGGTGGTCACAAGCAAGCTCTTTGATCGAAAGTGATAAACCTTTTCTAAGAATACTGTCGTTCTTGCAGCATTGTGCTATCGTTTTTCGTAATAATGTCTTGTCAGTCTTAGTAGTGCATGGCTGGTTGAGTCATGCCTTGCTATGAAACTGATACGAAAGTTATCGCTTTCAAATGAAACGATGTTGTACGCGCATCACAAAACGCTCACAACACTAAGTTTTGCTCATGATGGCTTTCGCGTGTCGTCTTTGGAGACCTTGCTTAATAAATCGAGCTGTGATCTAGCGGATTCGCATGTGCTAATGAAAAGAATGATTTCATCATACTACTGATACGCTTGGCGTATAGATGCAAAGCACCTCTGTATATTCCTTCGTCTCAAACACCTCCAGAGACTTTCAAGCTTTAAATTATCAAAGTCTTTATCATACTAATACGGGACAGTATTCGCGGATGGCACAAAACTACGCTATAACGCAAGTATCCATGTCAAATCCGGCAGCTTACTTACCCACTTGCGCTTCCTTGCAAATTTCTCTTACATTGCTACACTTTCTAACCGCACGTATAGTACTGCTATATCATCGCTCTCGACTTCCTGTCTCTTCATACTCCAACATCTCCGGCCTTTGTGCGCAATATATATCCACCCACATTCACACCCATACAATCCAATATTAGCGCGTTGACATGGGCCCACAAGTCTTATCACATCCATCTCTCACGAAACTCATCTTACCACACGTTCTCTTTCATAGCCAATGCGACACTTCTCAGTTTACCTCGTCGAATACACATCGTTCTCGACCTCGCCCTCTTTCGCACACACAAACTTCAAGTCGCTGCCGACTAGTCGTCTTGATTGCCTCGTCACCGTTCAAGCTTCGCCTCACCGACTCCCTCCTTCGCGGAAGTGTTGTAGTTCAAGCCTTCGCTTCAAGTTTATCGTACGAACATGGTTTTACCTTCGCCGCCACTGGTACTTCGCCGTCTCCGCGCTCTTCTGATCGCACGATAGGTCCAGCGCCATGTCGTCCTACGCCGCCCCGCCGCTTCTTCCCTGACGACAGCTTGTTTACGGCCAGCTACTCGCTGATTGGTGACGATTCGTCAACGGAAGAAGATCGCTACTTCAAGGCGAGCTCGCAACTTCCTCTGACTGTTGAAGCTGTGTAGTACACGCGCATGTGGATCCCTGCGGCGCGCCTAGCTGCTGAACATAGCACCGACGAGATTTTCCAATCACTGGCGGGGTACTCTCAATCAGCCACTTGGCAGGCTCATCGCGCTCCTTTGAGCAACTTCGTTCAGGTTCCTCATCATGGGTATCCTTTCTCTGCAACTCCGACGCGGCTCTGCACTCGTTGGGTGGTCTTGCGTTGCAGGCCTGCGGAATAACGGTCCATATCCACAAGTATTCGACGTACGAAAAACTGTAATTCGTGGATCCGACCCGACTGCCTGGTGACGTGCCGGACCGCACGATCTATAACTGGTTTATGGAACGCGGGGTCCGTCCAGTGCTCATCACGCCTACATATGTTACTGGTGAGCACAAGTCACGGGACCGTACGGTGTACTTCCACGCGGTCCAAAGCCCGGCCGGTCTCTTTATCGAGAATGGTCAACCGCTTCGCGAGATCTTTTTTGACCCGGAGAATAGATCGTGTTTCGTTCAACATCATCTTCGTAAGTTTAACCGTGTCAAGCCTCCGTCGCTTCGCCAAGTTGCTACTTTGCGGGGTTTTCCCCCTTAGATGATCACATGGGTGACGCCGACATGGAGGTTGATGACGTCACGTCTCACGACATCACTGAGGACGCTCTTATGGGGGCCTTATATTTCGTCTGTTGTCCGCGCCTCAGGATCGGGTTCTACTTCTACTGCATAAAAGACGGTGCCATAGACGTAGGCACTGATTCTCGAATCCGTTGAGGCTACCGCTACAATGTGGACTCTCGTTCAAGCTTATAGCCGGGATGTTACGCAGAAGGCGGGACCAGTGTGCATGCCAGAAGGCTTAACGCCTTGTCTCTTGGATCAGAACCCTGCTGATCCTCTTTCGCTGCGGTACTCTACGTTTATCACCGTGTACAACTCGTATGATGTGCTCACGACCATACGCACGATGAATCTCAGCCGCCTGATGTGGACATTGCGGTTCATGATCAACATGGCAATACCCTTGCTGGATTTTCTGCGGTCTCACCTCTAGTTCTTCGACGCTCGCTCCAAGCGCTTATGACAGCGCGTAAGCTCAAGCCCAAGCACCAACATCGTTCAGTTCACAAACTATTTTCGTTGATTGCGGAGTTTGTTGCTCAAGGCGTGAAAAATTACTCGTCTTATGATGATTTACTTGCGGCAATTCTAATTTAACCGGCTTATCATCAACGTTGCTTTCAGATTAATTGGAGCGAACTTTCTGCACTCATGCGATTTATCGTGCTGTCAGTCGTATATCGCTATCTGCTGGACAGGAGAATCCACTGGCCTTCTTACACGCCAAGTTTGGAGCCCCTGCGTCTTCAGTGGCTCAACTCTTCGACTACGTTTTTCCTGATTACGAAGTCCTCTGAGAAGCTCTATGCTGGTCCAAGTGTGACTCGTTTTTGATATAAATCGCGCCTGGAATTTATTTCGATACTCTGAAGCTTGTGAAGCTGCTTCCGCCTTGGATCTTGAGCAAGCGTCTTAGCAACTCGCCGTTTCTACTTTGGAGCAATGTCAACTTGCAGTGCATCACACATTCAGATGCGGTGCCTGTACATTTGGCCGATGGTCGAACCCCGAACGACATTCGCCTAGCCTATTAAGCTCTCAAGGACACTACACAGCCTGCAGTCGAGACTGCCTCCAGCCAAGTTGGCCCCGCTCACCTCTAAGGCGGCCTGGGTCTTTACTGGCATCTCGCGTAACATCAATGGATTATAACATCCGCCTAAGGCGATGTACGATCGCTTTCCTTTTAATTATCAACTGTTGGCGTCTCAAGAAACTAAATTTGTCAAGCCTGATGCAATCCAGACTAACGAACACTTCAATTTCACGGCGGATAACGGCGCGCACTGCTTTTGGTCCGACACCACTTCACCTTTTTTCTAATGAGCGACATGGTGTCGGTTTGGTGCTCTCTTCTGTGGTTCCTCCAACGATGTTCAAGAGTTGACTCCAATTCTCAGCAATTTGAAGCTCAAAAATCGCTAATTACTTCTTCGGACCATGCTGGACGGCGAACGCACGTACATTCACGTCTTATACGCTTCGGATGAACCGTCTGGGCGGGTGAATTTATTCGAATGCTACCTACGGATTTTGACGGCGACGATGTGGATGTCACTACTAAGCACACTGTTGTCAGACATTCTTACGTTACGCTGGACAGCTTTTTGGACCAGAATCTTCCTGGACTACACGACACCGGTACTGGACGCGAAGCTCTATCAGCGTGGCTTGATTCTCTTGGATTAATGAACTCGTGGCGTTGTATGAGTCCGGAGACTCGCGACATCACCAGTCCCAAGCGCCAAAATCGACTGGGCTATTGCTTTCTCACAGTGGATATCGTCCAAGAGCAGTTGGAAACGGTGAGCCACGTCCGCAATCGACGTTGTCATACTGATGATCATATTCCGGTTGAATTTAGGCTTCATGCGAAGCCTGTTCCTCGTGGGAAGCAACCGCCTTGGAGATGTACTATGTGGCTGCTAGACGACTCTTCTGTTCAAGATTATTTATCGCCTCAGTACAAGACTTAGGCTAACGGATCAAAAAATTTCCGGGTGCACATATCTTGGCTGTTTACTCGAAGAAGACAAGCGCACGGACTGCATTTATTTACGGCGGAGATGGTTGGAACTTCGCGACATCGGTGACAGACGCGCATCGGCTTTGATTGAAGCGGTAAATGACGCTTAAGATCTTCACAATATCGCTTCAACGGACGAGAGCTACGAGGTGTTGGAGCAGTCCAAATTGTTGTTAAAAGACCCACCTCGAGGATGTGAAAGTTCAGAATTAGTACAAAACCTTTGCTGCCGACTCACACTCGAGTGAATGAGCCACCGGTCAATTCTTCCTACCTCCACAACAAGATTGTTTGCAGTCCCCTGTTACTGGCTTATAGATCAAGACGGTTTTGAAACCGAGGACCTTGCCCAGATTTTGACGGGACACCGTAAATTTTGGGTCAACTTCTCCAGTTATCTTCGCCGGATCTTTAAGGTCAACGCACAACCAAATACTAGTCTCTTCGACTGGTTGATTTTTTTTGCGACACGACGGCTCGCCTTTTGCTAGATCTAGTTTCTATGATGGATGCGCCTCTCACGGCTAATCATTTTTACTGGGCTATTACGACTTCCATAAATGGAAAGGCGCCTGTCAAGATGGTCTTCCTATCGAATATACACAAGGTGGCTATTTACGAGTGGGCTAATGACAACCAGCTACGACGTGGCAAGATGACCAAGTTTTAGCGGAGGGCACACTTTTCTCTTCTCTAAAAGTCCGGGGACCGCTCGCTTCCAGCTATTTACCAATCGCTCACGCTGCTGAATCATGATGCGAAGCTGGGTCCCAAAATTTTGGCTTGTCGTCTACGGCTCGTTTTACCGTATCGAATTCACGAAGATCAAAGCTAATTTATTCATTGTCGGACTATTCGACACTCATTGCTTCGCTTTCAAGACCTACGAAAATTCGCATGGCGTATCACACTGATGCTTGTGCGGTAGTGTTAGACTTTGCCAAGGCTTTCGATAGTGTTTTGTGGTCTGCGCTGGATTTGGTACTTCATCACTTCGGTTTTGGACCAACTTTTCGGGATTGGATTAAGATATTTTAGACGCAAACTTCGGTCAGTTTCATGCTAAATGGGACACCGGGGGACTCCTTCGTGTTGGGTGTAGGTGTTCGCCAGCGTGATCCGCTGTCACTTGGGCTATGTTCTCTCTTTGTCGAGCCGATGATGATTTTTTGCGCGCTCGGTTTTCAGGCCATGGAATTAATGCTGATGGATCTGCTGATTCTCATTTACTCATGATTTTTGCAGACGGCTGTACTGGCCTCCTCACGGATATCGATAATGCTAATGAATTTCTTAGATTGGTCACGAGTACTCCAGTGCGGCTGGTCTTAGCTTAAATTTAGTAAGACGTCAGTGATGCCATTCTCTCGTTGGATATTGCGATCGAAATTGAATGATCTTCGAGCTACGTCCCCCTTCACGATTTTCGGAGTGACGGACACAAGTTAAGCTACTTGGAAAATGTTCAAGGGGCTATTATCACAGCTGACACTCGATTTTGTCATGTGATCTTGAATTTACGAGCACGCTGTGCTATATGGAAATACAGGGCACGGACATTACGTGGAAAAGTTGTTTATTTATAGAATATTATATTACCATTGCTTTGGTACACTGCGAGTGTGACTTGTTTCGCAGCCTCGATTTTGAAGACAGTCGCAGTAAATATTCGAAACTTTGTCAACACCAAGGATACTGGCAGAGACTCTGCTAGCTCGGGCAAGTTCGACAAAAGTTGGATATATACAAGTGTGGGACAAGGTCGATAAACTCTTTGACGAGTGTAAGGACTTACACCCGTTAAAGGGTTTATCCAAGCCATGCACTTTAAGTCGTTAGGCGATGCTATATCGTCTACATGCTCCAATTGAGCTGCACCGCGCTGGATGACTCCCGCATTTTCTCGCTTTTCGATGGCACTTGGATCTCAAGATTTCGGATTCGACGTACTGTACGCAGTGATCAAGGACGTATGAATATTTCTACTGGAATTCTGGTACTATACGCTTCGCTTATGGACCGATTTACACATAGCCTGTGGAACTACCGATTGGAAGCAGTTCTCGAAAACAGCACCATTCTGGAATAATTTTAATGTTCTCTTCGCAACGACCGATGATCAAGATATCGAACAACAACGCCTTGCTTCAAGCACACGGAATATGTCGATTAACAAGACTTTGTGGATACTATCAGGTACTTCGCGAAAGCCAAGTTTTTGGCTGAAACGTTGACGACTTTCTTCGACCCGCTTCGAAGACTCGATATATCGCGCAAGTCATTCCACGCTTTTATCTTCTCACGACCCACACGACTCCAACTTTCGGGCTTGTGTTCCCTACACTGATTGAATCGGCAAGGCACGGTTGGAGTTTTGATAATTAGCTCGTGGCTGATATGACGAACAAGAACTTCGTTCGACTTCTTTTCAAGTCACGTCAAGATCCAAATATACCTACGTTACCCTTACGGCAGCTTACTATTGCCGACTTTACGCCTACAGACGACATGTGGAATCTCGACCGTGGTTTGGATCCTCACGTTCTTTCTGTCGCTGCAGATGTTAAATGCCGACTTCAACACAATGCATTGGGTTTTTGGTACAAGTTTCGGTGGCGAACGGAAGTCAAGACTACTTCCACTTGCCATGATTGCGACGCGATGGAAACGCCATACATTTAGTTTGGGTTTCCCCAGTGGCTTCTCTTCAATGGGACTTCTACTTTCTACCTTTTCGGAACTTTTTGGATGGCGACATTACTTGGTCGAACATACTGTTCCCATCTTCACTACGACTACTCCCGTCCACTATCAAGCTGCTTGGTGCACGAGCACTATTAATTGTCTTCAGTTCTTAATGGCTACATTGCAACAAGCGACTTTACAATCCCGAGACCTCTACTATTGCAGTATTTGTCCAGCATCACCATTTTGCCTATGTGGACTTTCACTTACGAAAATTGGAGTCAACAGCGGACCAAAAGTATCGGCAAGGCATTATGCGTTTGTTGTTGGCGTTTACGCCTCGACATTATCCGCTTTACACAGCACTACCACTTCTTATTACGACGATTAAAACGGGCTACGAGTGGTTTTTCGCTTCAAGATTTTTATATTCAGGTAATATTGTTAAGTATTATTTGTTATTTTTAACCTGGAGATTTAATTTTACATCGATAAGAAAAAAAAGAAAAGAGATTTCGCCTTAATGATTTTCTTTTGCTAATGTTTATACGGTGCGAAAGCAATACGCATTGTTTTTAATTAGTCACGATTTTGCGATGCGAAAGCAATACGCTCTGAAGCAGCCATTATGTTTTCTGCTTCTTCAGGGTATGGAACTCTTGGTTCTAAAGCCGATCCGCCATGTCAAGGCGGCTCCATTTCGAATTTGTGTCACACCCGGTTCATCACAAACGTTTCAGCTCTCATCGCAGAAGCTATGAGTTTAATCCGCTCGCAATTCCCCGAGCGCAACGGTTTCAAGTCAGTACTTGCTTGGTCAAAGCTTCAACAATTCACCCGCAGTCTGTTGTACCACGTCCACTTAGTGGTTCGACGAAGTGTCCAATATTCATATCCCCACCAAGTGTTCATGGTAACTCCCGCTCATACTACCGCCGAAGCAGCGCGCCTCACACCCCTTCAGGTGTGGCAGCAAGTGGCGTACTGCCCTCTAAGTTTGACTACAACAGTTGGGGAGCAAATCCATCCGTCGATGTCTCGCCCGAGCGATGTGTACATGCCGCATTAGCTCGGTTTTCAACTCTTCACCAGACTTGTAATTATCCAGATCCAGGTTTAAGCCCCGTTCCAAAATTCATGTTTTACCAAGTTTAGTCCATGATTCGCCTGTTTTGATTCACGTCCGTGCCATTTTACCAGTTTATCGTCTGGTTACCAAGAAGTGGCATCCCGACGTCGAGACCACGTGCATCGACAGAAGCCGATGCTACCCATGCATCACCATACCAAATGATCTCTTTCGCCCCCACCACTAAGCTGGTTTACTTAAACCGTCTACAGAACAAGTCATCGCTGTGCATCACTGTCCAAGGAATCAGAATAACAATCGGATCAAGTCAACCCTGTTTCAAGTCTTTCCTATTCCATGACTAGAAGTCTAGTCTTCACCATGACTAGTCTCAGCGCCATGCCTCGGGAAGGCTCAAAGGCCAGTCAACGCACAAGGAATTGAACCCTTTCTATCTGGTAAGCCAGATACCGCCCACGGGCGGCGTCATTTATTAGCTCTACGATTTCAATTTTACTTATCAAGTTGATTACCTTTCTTTAAGATTTTTCGCGATAAAAGGTTACGGAATAAACAATTTTTCACAGCTAATGCGACACTTTCTGACCGGACACGACAACCACTCGTCGTGTGGTACATGCACAATCCCACCCGCCAACCAAAAACCCGTCCTCTCCTCTCTCTCGAACCTCCTCTCTATCCTCCTCTCTCTATCCTCCTCTCTCTATCTTTCTCTATCTCTCTCTAACTCCCCCTCATTTTCCGTCGCTCTTGGACAAATGGTTCGCGGGAAAAAGATTGGCCTCGGTGAGTTCCTCGGGGACAAGGCCGCCGCCTACATCCCCGAAGCCGCGCTGCCCTCCGGTCCCCGCGCTCGTGCTGACGACGACACGGGCAACTTCCGAGGTGGCGGTCGCGGCGGTGGCGACCGCTACAGTGACCGCAACGACCGCTACGGCGACCGCAGTGACCAGTCGTGCAGTGACCAGTCGGACCAATGGCGAGGCGATCGCAGCGGCAGCAGCAGCAGTCGCAACGAGGAGAGCAGCAGTAGCTGGCGAGGAGGAGGAGGAGGAGCTCCTTCTTCTTCTTCGCGCTTTGAACGTCCGTCGCGAGACGCGTTTCAAGCTGAAGAGCGACCGGCGCATATGCGGTTGAATCTGGCGCGACGGGGCGAAGTGTCGGGGGACGTGCGGGCGAGTAGTAGCAGTGGTAGCCGGTTGAGCTCGTTCCGTGAGGGAGGAGAGACGTCGGGGGGTAATGGGGGGTTGCTGGGTCGCAATGGGGGTGGGGGACGTGCGGCTGGACGGTTTGCACGCGGATCGGACGATGTGACAACGTCGATGGGAGCGATTCGGTTAAGTACGAATGTGGACGAGCCGAGGACGAAGAAGGTTGTGGCGGTGCCGGACGAGGAGCCGCTGACGGAGAAGAAGTTGCGGGCGCAGCAGAAGCGGGAGGAGCGCAAGAAAAAGGCGGAAGAGGGGCGCCTTGCCGCGGAAGAAGCTAAGCGCCAAGCGCTGGAGGAGAAGAAGCTGAAGGACGAAGCGACGGCGCAGCAGGCGGAGAAGGACCGGGAGACAATGCGACAAGTGCTTGCGAGTGGCAAGAAGGGCGAGGAGCTTGCAGTTGTGGCCGCCAAAGTGTTTGAACATTCTGGACGACCGAGTGGGGCCGTGCTGTTTGAGATGGTGACGGCTGCAGCGGAAGATGTAGCCAAGTCGAGTGCCAATTGGATCGCCATGTCGGCGTACGGCGAGCTGCTGAAGGTTGGCATGGAAGGAGCGGACAAGAAGGAGCAGATGCAGGCGTTGTACGCGTTGCAGCTCTTTTTGAACAAGTACGACTTTCCCACGGGGTTGCTGGAAAAGTGTTTCATGGCGCTGTATAGTCTGGATATCATCGACGAAGCGGGCTTTTTAGAGCACAAGTACGATGTCGAGGGAGACGTGCCTGGACGCATGAAGGCGATTGTCCAGACGTCGGCGTGGCTCACATGGCTCGAGACACCGGAAGAGGAAAGTGAGGAGGAGGCGGAAGAATAGATAACAGTGCACGTTGCTGCGAGGGGCACTGCAAACGTTCTTCCACTGCTCCCACCGCGTTTGGATGCCACACGGCCAAGAGATGGTGGTAGTCATCCACGAGCTACATAGGCGAGATGAGCTCGCTCGTCTTGCATGCGTGTCTCCGAAACCATTTCAAATGAATACGTGCATCGAAGTCATTGTCATCATTACTTGTCGTGCATTGAGTTATTTTGTTCAGGAATCTCGCGTCGTCACTGATGTCACCATGTCTTGTATTGTGGACATTGGCGGTCGGTAAATCTCGGGAAGCAGCTTGCGCTGCAACGAATTAAACGAGTACTTATAACGGCCAACGTTCTTCTTGGCGATATGGATGCGGACGCCAAACTCCCGCATGATGTTGGCCACGTCCTTCACTTCTTCAAGCGGCCCGTACTCAGTGGCACCCCCCGATTCGATCTCTTGAAGCACGTGACGCTTCCGTTGCACTAGAAGCCTAGCCTGCTCGAGTGTAGTGCTCATTGCTGTTCGATCTTTGCCAGACTTGCAATACGTGACTCGGCCGCCATTCAGACTGCGCACGGCGTCGGCAGCGTGCAACAAAATGCACGTGTTCTTCGATGCCGAGTTTTCGCTCTCCACACTCAAGCGCAAGTTGCGCAAGATTTCGTCCGGATGAGAGCCCACACTCGCTTCGGACATCCTGGTCCCACATACATCGGCAAAGCGACTGTAGTACTCTGAAATGGTATGGAAGCTCGTACTATTAATCTTACGCTGAATTGACACCCCTGAATGTCCCACCATGTTGGCCAAACTCTGCATTTCGTTAATGCCTTGGGTAAACAGCACTGCTGTGACGCCAATCAATCCACCTTCCCTCAAGCTCTCCGGAAGTTTCGAAAACTCAATCGGAGGCACCGGGACTTTAACCACGTAATCCCCCAGACCATCCTGCTTTTCGACCATCACTTCCATGTCAGTCCCTTCAAACAGCTGAAAAGAGAATGTGTCGAGACATTTGATGGCAACCCACGCGTCGGAAATCATGTACAATTCCTTTCCGTGAGACGAGATAAGGCTTTCCCATCCGATCAAAAATCCAATCTTTGCCATTTGATCGAGCACCTTTACGTTTCGCTCTTGGAGACGCAAATCTAGCTCCGCTAGAAAGCACGTGACAAGACTACTCACAGATTGAGAGACAGCTACGCTCTTTCTCATATAATATTCAGCTTGCAGCATTTCCAGTCGACACAATATTCGAACAGCATATTGCAAGGAAGTTGTTGGGTCCACACCATCTGCTGACTCAGTGCGAAGCAGAGGGTATTTTGCATACGCAGCTGTCTTCCCATCACAAACTCGGTCAAGCTGTCGAGCGGTTTTCTTTTTGACAAATCGCTTATTAGACATTGCCTTCGCTCGGACTGTCGCGGCTTTTCGAGCCATGATCGAGTACGTCGAAGTTTTTCTGGAAAATTCAGGCTTACTAGCCACTATTGCTACAGCTGTGGGGCGATCTGGACCTTCCAAAGAAAGTGTGCCACAAGAAGTGCCGCTGACGGAGGTTTGGACGTCAGTTTCGACTTCCGCCTCACATTCATCTTCGAAAGGGGAATAGTATACTTCTGATGAGTCTTCTGCAATGAAACAGTTGCTATCCTCAACCGAATATTCCGTGGCTTGCGGGTTGCATCTCTCCAGAATAGCTACAAAGTTGTGCATCTCAAGCTCCATTTCTCGCAAACCGCAATCCCTTAGCCCCATGGCATGAGCAGTCGGAGCGCCGCAAGTTACAGTTGCATGCGTCTCAAATCCCACCACGCGCTCTTGGATTGATATCGTTTCATACGAGCAACGGCGCTCGCCGCTATCCTCTAAGTCAAAAGAGTCATGTGGGGCCACTTGTCCTTCCGTTCGTAAGTTTGGCATAAACTGCGACCCGAAATGACGGAATATGCGGAAGTACGATACGTGTAAATTCGTTGGTATGCCTTGAATGTCAGCACGCTTTTTGTGTAAGCTTGACTTGAACGTTTTCTCCTCCTTAACCAGTTGTTCCGTAAGCCGAATCATCTCAGTAACTTCAGTCAAGTGCTTACGAATATTCAGCACATGTGGATACAGAAAGTTCAGTGGAATCTTGCTCTCAATAATACTATCGTCTGGTGGCGGGGAGCTATCAGCAACCCGTCTGTACCTTCTCGAACTGGTTGAAGATATTTCCGATGCAGGAGACAGAAGGGCGCCGCTCGTGGACTCGAGTGGGTTTGCCAGCAAGATATTGATACGAAGATGAATTTGTCCACAAACCTCATCAGTCACAGACGACCGAATATCAAACCAGTCCACAAGAGTAAGAGACGTCACGACTTGGTGTGGTCTCGCCACATGATTGTCACTTGTGTTGCCTTCGCTACTCTCGTCGTCGTCATATACAGTTGTTTCTTCCACTGCCATTGCCTCGCGTACGCTTTGCAACGGAATCATAGCTTCACCAATCAATTCGTTCTCGATGCCACTCATGTAGCTGTAATGCTCGTTATAGACTTGGAAGCGCACCCACCCTGCAAGTTGCTGGCCAGGCGTGCTTGGTCGATAAAACAGAAACTGCTTCAACCCGTTTACTGGAGAGACGTCTACGCGGCTATTTAGTACTGACGACGCGTAGTACTTATCGTTCGGCTTACCGTGCGGGCATTTCGAAGCTGCACACTTGTTTGTTGACCAAACAGGATCTGGAGTGTCATACTCAGTGTTTGTCTTCCCTACAGTGTACTCTTGATTGCCATGCACGTCGTCTTCAAACTTCACAACGACAAAGGGATGAATACTGCTAGCGGTTTCCCCGCCCAGGTCAGCGGTGTCAGAGTAATGACCGGCAAACGAGGATGTACCGGCGCTCCCCCATTTGCCAGCCTTTATACGTGTCACAAATCTTCCTCGACCTCCTGCTAGTCCCGTTGCAAAGCCTGAAGTACGCGACGATCGTGAACCACATTCGGTCATCATGTCCGGCTCAGCACTCAATGATGTTGTAGTGGAACTAGCACGTGAGCGTGCCTTCAATGCACGTCCAGAAACTACTTGAACTCGAAACACGTCATATCCAAAGTTTAGCGCTTCGGCATCATTTACAAAGCAGCAATTCTGCTTGCGATTGTAATTATAACGCAACTTCCAGGCGTCATACATCTGCAGCAGCTCACACTGACACACTCGCAGCAGTTGCAACGGGATCTTCACGCTAAACTCCACTTCTCCGGCCTCTTCAACTGCTAACTTTGCATCTGCAACTTGCATCTCCGCATGCTCTTCCTTCATCAACGGGTAAAACAGAAAGCTCTTGACCATACTGCGCTGGGTCGTAAACAGCGGGCGGGTCTGCGGCTCAATATCGGCGAATTGCAGCGTCACTGTCGCACCCTCGAGCACATGTGAGTGGACGGGCAGCGTCACCGTCTGCTTCAGGTTTCCCCCTCTAGCCACTCTGTACATCTCCTGGAACGACGTCAGCGCGTAGCCAAACACGTGACTGTGACGATTCGAAGACGTCCCTTCGTCCGGAATCATGACCCGAATCTGCACTTGTCGGTCGCGCTCTGCCACGTCCCCACACGTGATACAGAAGCCCACTGAGAACCGCGGATTGCGACTCTTCCGCCGTTCGCTCCAGTAACTTTCCTGCTCCGCGGGTGACAGCGGACTCAACAGTCCGTCGTCCATTGACAGCGGCGGTCCTTTCTCTGTCCGTCCATTGCCACTGTGGTCCGTCTCTAGAGCGACACTGTTTCGCCTCGACAGACGTCCTGGAGTAGCGGTAAGTACCGGTATTACCGGTAGTTGGCACTCACCGAGCAGATTAGACATCGGCGTCTCCTCAAAGACGCGCACCTCCACGTTCACTTCGGTCGGAGGCTTCTCCCGTGGCGACTTGGTGCTGTTCAAGTTCGCAGCGCTACTCAGTCGACTAAGCGCGCCACGGACGAGCGTCTGCGCTGAGCGAGTGGACGACGTGAGCGAGTTGCCTTCGATATTTTGACAGGATACGAAAAAGTGCAGCGCTTTGCGTTCGCCTTCAGCGCGGGATGATGGCACGATAACACTGGGGGAATGTGGCGGAGAGACGCGGGAGTTGACGGTGTCGACGGAGGAAATGGACGCGGGTGTCAATGGCAAGGGAGGAGCAGACGCATCGTCATCGAACAGCATGAGGTTCGGGCTCGACGGCGCCGCCATGAGTGCGGAACGGAGTGATGGTCTTTGCTGGTGTGACGCAAATGTGGTGCGAGGGAGGCACTGTTGAAGCTGGCGTAATCTTTTGTGATAGCGACACGTTTAGAAAAGGGTAACGCAGTGGGGCAGATGTATTTCTAAGACTATAATTCATGCAGGTATATTTGAACGTTTGAAGAGGCCGGTGGGGTTAACGCTGATTATGTCCCCCTATAATTGCATATCGCTGATGTGGAAAGAAAACACTCTTACCTCTCATTGCTAAATGTATCGGTAGCTCGATCCGCGTTTTCAATGTTCACACCTAGAGTCTCACAAAGAGCCATATGTGTTATCGCCATGAGCGAAGCACAGTACCATCTTAACTTAGCGAGTATTACAGCATAAACATTTCCTTATCATCATTATGACCATTACGTGCTTATGTTAACAGCACATCAGCCTTCTTGTCTTGCATATGCATCGATTTAGGTCTTCACTAGTCCCACAAGCTTGACTAAAAAACGATAAATGAATCCATTACTCGTACGGATGCAAATGGTGCTTCTTTTTCATTGTTAAATACTGGTAAATTTTATATTACTTACATGCAGTTGAAATGCTACTTATAAATAACATCGTGCATTCTTTTCTAGCAATATTCAATTTCGTCAGTAATTTCCGTTTTGTACAAAAATATCAATTAGATACAGCTCAAAGTTTGTACTATAAATAGGGTAAGGATTATTTCACCCTCTCCCCCTCTTTTAACTATTTTCACCCCTTAGAACCAGAACGGGGTGTATTTTACTACTTGTATGGAATCAATTTACGGCAACTATATCGATTGTTACCACGCATCACCATTCATGCTATAACTTCACAACTAAAATGAGGAACTGCTTAACATATTGATGGAATATAATGGGTTTTAAAGTCAAGCATCCTTTAGCAAAGGATATGTTTACGGCTCTCCAATTGATAGCGCGCGCGCTAAAGTTTACTATTGAACTTCAGGTCCGACTATAAAATGGTGAAAATGATTGTTGCGTGCGACCGAGCGAGATCATACTGTACGTTGCTATCGCGCGGAAGACCTAGACGTAATGTGTACAGGATGCGACTACATACTCATAGCGCGACACGTCGGCGTCGACAAGATGTTACAGGTGATTTGACATGAAGGAGCGCACAACCATGGCATACTCACAAACTTCGACATACCTTATCACGCTAGACGGTGAACAATTGATCAACAAAGCAAGCGCATTCGACTAAAGAGAGAAGGTGTGCGGCCAAAAGAGCAACTTGTGTTCCGCAGACACAAGTATCCGGACTTCTGCTGCGTAAGCCGGGGCACATAAAATGACAAGCAGAAAGGACGCAGAGAGTACTTGAATGGACACATGCCAATTTAAGCGCTGTCCGACGAGCTGCGAGTAAAAAGCGCTGCTATGATCTCAGTTTTGACGCAAAGGGTCAAATCTGCAGCTTGATGTTTTCGAATTCTCAATCCATCGCTCTTGCTGTAGAATTATGTGATGTCATCTTGCTCGACTGCACGTACAAGACAAGCAATTTCAAGATGCCAATGCTCAATTGTGTCGGCGTCACCCCGTTTGGCAGGTCATGTTTCTTTTGCACGACATTTATGCGCAGAGCAGGAGAGAAGAACGACGAATGGGCGCTTACCTCCTTTAAAACAATGCTGAAGAGTCGAAAAAGTGGGGAAAAACGACAATATCTGGCCAGAGACAACAATTATTCTCACATAATGCTGAGCAGCAAGTTTGCCCGAACGCGACAAAGACTGCTGTGTCGCTGGCACATTAACAACATAATGATCTTGTTGCCAGAAGTTCTGAACGGTGATGAATGGGGAGATATGATCGCGGATTGTAGTGTGTATCTGCGATACGTCAAGTGTCGAAGTTTTTGAAGCACAGTAGGACGATTTCAGACCAAGTATTAGTATCTCTCTGTCGTCACGTGTTACCTGGATAGAACGTGGATCAAGCGTAAATAGAAGTGTGTTGGAGAGTGGGTGGGATACGTCTTTCAGCTTAGCTCTTCCACCACATCTTGTAGCGGAGCTACACAGCTCTTTAAGTCAGAGGAAGACTTATTCAACAAGCCAACGGCTTACGGCTGATATCCTTTCAGTTCTACGAAACTAATTTATTAAGTTAAAGATTCACCCAGTTCTACGGAACTCGGGTGGACTCTACGAGCTAACATCTCAGCTACTGTGGTTCTAAGGAACTACGCGCACAATGTGCGAAAGCGTAATACCGGAGTCTAAAGACTCTCTAACCCACGACAGTTCTAAAGAACTGTCAAACGCAAGATGCTAAAGGGGGGGAGTCTAGGGACTTCTGCTCAAAATGAGAACCAAACTCTATTTAGATTTAAATCAAGGAAAATCCTACTTTATGTACCCTCTACTATACTAAACTAGAACTAATACAATTACTAGTATTCGAACTAAATGGACGGTTGGCACATCACTCAGTCATCAAATGATGACGGTACAAAGTACGTACACTGTAAGTACCGTAAACCTGGGAATATTGATCAATCGATATTCTCTTGCTGATATAAAATCCAAGGTCACACACATTCATCCATATCATTTATAGGAGGTCTTTGACCAATTCAGCCAAAGGCTAGTGTGACCCCGTTACACATCTAGAGCTGAGTCAGTACATTCGTACCTAGAATGTTTTTTTGCGAATGTCGTGTCGGTGATCTTCTCACTGTGTTTCAAAGCTTCCACTTGGCGATTGAGCACCAAGTGGTGGAGCTGAACAAGATGCACGCTGATTATTGCGTGAAACAACAACATTCGCAGAAGCGCCTATGTACACCCAATTTGTGTAAAAGGTTTCATCTCTTGCGCTCACCCTCGTCCACAAACACCATGCATCCACTGATGGATGAAATTCCAAGTTCTGATTGACTTTGGGTCTACCGTGCAATCACTATTCAACACGTAATTGACGATGATGCACCCTTCACACTAAAAGATTTTGACTCGCATTGGTGGTTAAAAAGTTTGCCCCTACTTCTGCTGCACGAGTTGTGAAAAGTAACATTTGGTTTGATGGCTTGGTACCATATCGATTTCTAGGATTCGACACAGCACCAACCCGTAAGAAAATTGATGTTTAGGTTCACATCACCGATTCAACATTGATGGGTCCAAGAATTTCATGAAAGATACAATCGCAACAAAACCAAACAGAGACCACTCGAAGCAAAAAACCGACGAAACCATCTGCGAGACCCGTCTTCGTTAAATATATCGACGAAATCGCAATCTTGACTCGAAAGAGCAGTATCTGCAAACAACATAGAAACAAAAGGCGTTCATGCACCAATTTTGCAAGAGTGTAGGAGATACTTAGTAACGTACAGCGATTGTCGAACCGATTAGAGGTGTGCGCACAGTAAAGTAAACATCGCTCATTTTTCATGACTGACATACATCGTGGTCTGTGTATCATTATCTGCATTGTTACAACACACAAACAGAACAGCAAAGAAAACATCACAGAAAAAACGGAAGCGCACTTGCGGGTCTTACTGCTTAGTAATTCAGTATGTTTGCAATTTGCTTGTTCCTAATTATCGTAAAGATGCTGTAGGATCGGCAATGCAGTATTTGACACTTCTGTGCTGTTCTAAATTTCTATGTCTTGCTCTCACTTTTAAAAAAAAGCATTTGCATAATGCACCAGTATGTGATTCAATTCGTACCATCCCCAGCACTTTCAAACGTTCACATGACGCAAAAAACCTTCTGCACAGCTGTGTACCGTCTCTTGAGATTAGGCTCGTGATCTTGGTGTCGTTCGTAGGATTCTACATCTCCAGCATCCATCTTTCGGACGCCCTACGCGAATTCATCAGCCGCTTGACCTTTCTAGAAAAGGTTTTCATAGCTGTCAGCTCCAACCGAGAGTAGTGTTCATCTTTTAATTAATACGTACATTGGTGCTTGCGTAGCGTGTGACCTTGTGCATTGCACTATGTTTTAAAATCGAAAACACCTTGTATTGGTTTCAAAGAGGTGAAAATTATAAAAGGAGGGGGGGGCGGAAAATCAATTCCCTGAAATTTTTGTTAAACCCTTTTTGCATAAAACATTTCAAACAGAGTATAGTTTGAGCTATAACAATTTTCTTGCTGTATTATTCAGTATTGTTTGGCTAAATTCAAGATCAATCCACAGTTATCGCTTGAGGAGGGGTATAATTTACAATTTCCCTTAGAGAGTAAGGGAGTTGATAATTTACGTCCTTAAGAATAAATCTACTCCCTTATTCTTTCATAAAGCAGACATGTATAACAGCCAATTGTGATTGGTCAATGTATGTGTAGAATTTACCCGTTTGGCATGCCAAATATATGATACCATTACGCTAAACCAAGAAGTCACGATGGTGCAGACTTTTCATGATCGTGGCTAGTACGACATAAATCTGCATTTTTTTCGTCTCTAGCTCGTACACTAAATTACATTTAGCAAACACAATTAGTCATCCTGTGATCGCAATACTCGGGACACACGTTTATCCACAGCTCCAAACGACACATCTTAAATATGTTGAGAGCGAGTAAGATGCCATAGTGACTACCATGTTCTACGGAGTTAAAGATTGTCACAACTATTTACATAGTATATGTGATAATACTACGAGTGAGAGTGATTTTCGCGTAAACGCACATTCATTGTTATAAACACTTAAATGTGCCGATAAAAAGAAGGCTATCAAATTGCTGAATCGAGTGGTGTTTATGGTAATAACGAAATATAGTAACAGCCACACGATATTACAATTTGCGATTGTTCTCTAAGTACTCTTCTTCTTGTCGTGTGACGTCTATTTTGATTCAATTGACCCAGAATATGTGCAAATACTCTTTATCGTCTACATCGCCCCATCCCTGTCTTAGTCATCTTCTTATTACGCCACCTTTTCCATTCCATATCTTTTTGTTAGGGAACAACTTTATTAATA